TCAACGAAATTAAATTATTTTTGCAAGATAGGGAACCCGACTTTCTGCTCCTTCAGGAGACTTGGCTCAAACCAACTCAAATGAAGGGGCTGTCGATCCCTAAGTATAAATTAATCCGGAACGACGGTGCCAACGCGCGCGGCGGCACCGCAATTTACTATAGACGCAACCTACACTGCACACCTATACCCACTCCCGCGCTCACAAACATGGAAGCCACCATCTGTAGGCTGGCGATGACAGGACACCAGTCCTTAATCATCGCCTCAGTCTACATTAGATCAGGTACACACCCTCACCGCGCAGACTTCGAAACACTCACTTCACTAGGTACATCAGTCATAATGTTCGGTGACTTTAACTCCAAACACACCGACTGGACATGCGAGACCACCACCACCTCTGGCCGCAGATTACTACACATCACCGAGGAGCTTGGCTATGATGTCATATGTCCCTTCGCGCCCACCCACTACCCAGACAATGTACAAAACCGACCCGACGTCCTGGACTTCGCGATCCTTAAAAACGTGTCGCTCCGCCTCAGCTCGATCGAAACACTCGACGACCTGGGGTCAGATCACAGACCGGTGTCTCTAGTTCTAGGTCCCCAAGACCCACTAGACGCCCCCGCGCCCCCTAAGAGGCTATTCACCAACTGGGACGGATACCGCTCCGCTCTCGAGACCGCTTTAGACTCCCCCGAGTCCCCGTTCCCTAACTCACCGGACAGTCTCGACAGCACCGACAAGATTGACGAAACTATAGAGTCTTTAACTTTACTGGTGACCGAGAAGGCGAAGGAGAACTCGCGGGAGGTTGAGCTGCCAAAGCCCAAGCTCCCGCTGGCCATCCGGAACCTAATCCAAGCCAAAAACGCCGCTCTCCGGAGAGCCAAATTATACCCCACCCCCGAGTATAGGGCTACAGCTAATCGCCTTCAGCGACAAGTTAGGTCCCAATTAGCCGCTCTGAGACACTCCCGTTGGGAGGAACTCATGGCGGACATTACCCCATCCCATCTTGCGTACTATAGAATCGCGAAAGCGCTCCGTAGCGACGTCACCACTCACACCCCCCCGCTCACTCGCCCCGACGGCACCGTCGCCTTCGAAGACGACGAGAAATCTGAGTGTTTTGCAGACAGCATAGCGGCGCAATGCACGCCTAGTACGCAGGAAACTAACCCGCAACATATTCGCGGAGTGGAGGAGGAGGTCCGCCGGCGGGCCGCCCTTCCACTCATTGACAACCCCCTAGACCCCGTCACGACAGACGAACTCAGACAGACCATTAGAAACTTTAAGCAACGCAAGGCCCCGGGCGCCGACGGCATCTCTAACAAGGCGCTCAAGCATTTTCCCACCCAAATGCTAACCTTGCTTGCAATTCTCTTTAACGCATGTTTTGATCTGTGCTACTTCCCAGCCGCCTGGAAAGAAGCAATAGTGATAGGCATCCCCAAACCCGGAAAACCCGCGCACCTCCCCAGTAGCCATCGCCCTATTAGCCTCCTCAAGGCAATGGCGAAACTTTTCGAAAAAACCATACTGACCAGACTAAGAGAGCACCTCCTATCACCATCCGATCCTATTATCATTGACCACCAATTCGGCTTCAGAGCCAAACACTCCTGCCCCCAACAGATCCATCGCATAGTGGAGCACGCCCTAAGCGGCTTCCAACTTAATAAATATAAAACTATTGCAGTCTTCTTCGACGTCGCCAAAGCCTTCGACAAGGTTTGGCACGACGGATTAATCTTTAAATTATATCAATTAGAGTTACCTGACCGCCTAGTTAGGTTAGTAGCCTCTTTTCTATCAAACCGCACCTTCCGCTATAGATACGAAGGTTCACTATCAACGCCCCGCCCACTACGAGCCGGTGTACCGCAGGGGTCCGCTCTCTCCCCCCTGCTATACACAGCGTACACCAATGACATCCCTCAGACCAAGGGTGTCGAGCTCGCTCTCTTCGCGGACGACACGGCCCTCTACTCTAGGGGAGCCAGTACCAATCAAATCATAGCCAAGCTCCAACCGGCAATCACAACTCTTGGGAATTGGTTCCGCGATTGGAGAATCGACGTAAATCCGGACAAAAGTTCGGCCATTTGCTTCGATCCCAAGCGCCGCACCAAAACCATACAACACGGTGCGCGGTCTCTGCGAATGCAAGGCATAGCAATACCGTGGCACCGCACAGTCAAATACCTAGGGATCACACTAGACAAAAAACTCACCTTCCGTGCACACATCACACGCGTAGTCGCGAACGCGCGCTTTTATATGAGTCGCCTCCACCCGATGCTCGGTAAATACAGCAAAATGTCACTTCGTAACAAGCGAACGCTTTACAAAGTTTGCATACGCCCGGTCCTCACTTACGCGTCACCAGTGTTCGCACACGCGGACGAAGCGATTTTGAACAAACTTCAAGTGCTTCAAAATCGCTTCTGCCGCATAGCCACAGGGGCCCCGTGGTACGTCCGCAACGCGGACCTCCACAGGGACCTACAACTCGACACAATTCAAACACACCTCACAGAGTGCTCGGAACGGTTCTTCAAAGCTGCAGAAGAGCACTCTAACACACTCATTAGATCGGCGTCGGGATACGCTCCACACACTCCATCTCGATTCAGGCCCCGCAGGCCCAAACACGCACTCACAGCCACACACAATAAACTCACGTGCGATCTCGCGGCCCTCCTGGCCGCTGAGGACGCGGTGAGTCCCCCCCGCCCCCCCGACACAGAGAGGTTCGATTCCTCTCAGTCCCCTCCCGTTTCAAGTGCACATCCGAGTGCACTTGTCCTCTAAGCGCATTTTGCGTTATTTTAAACTATGCACTAGTTTAAACTAACGCAGCGCCGCATCATCCCCCTCTCGGGGGGTGATCGCTTCAGATGAAGCTTGTAAGGCCCTTCTGGCCATAAGCATGAATAAAGGGTGTTTTTTAGTCAGTAAGAGTCTGACATAACCTTACAGCCGGCTGTAGGGTATCCATGAGGATTTCTCACCCTCTCCCCCGCCTGGGAGGAAACAAAAAAAAAAAAAAAAAAAAAAAAAAAGCGACTTGAAGAGCCCCAGATTATAGGTGATTGGAAACAGAGATTCCGGCAAAGAGTTCCACAACCTAGCTGTGTAGCTTGAACACCACTATAAAAACAATAATAAAAATAATAATAGCAATTAGTCGTAAAATTTTATAAGCCTGCATTTCGAACTGTCATGACTCTTTGACGCTTGCGTTTTAATTAAGACCTTATGCAGTATGCATTAAAGGTGACTTTCAGTGTTCAAAAAATGACTTATATTGTTTTTGACTAAGCGATCATCTTACTGTGCTCCGTGGATCATCCAATGTACCTTTTAGGCCAGTTTCGGCCACGATTTAAATCGTGTTGGTGTATCTAGGGTATTTAATATAGTTGGGTGTCCAAGCACTTCTTGATTGGGACACATTTTGAGCGTACGTAGTACATCTAGGGTAATTAATACCGTTGACAAAAGTATATCTTTATGTGTCACAGAGTCATATTATGTGAGCTATGTTAATCTCGCAAGTGATTATGACGTGGAACTCTGTATGTAAATTATATAAATTAAACTCACGAGATTGAAGTGGGTGACAATCTTATTAAAAAGGGCCCTTTGTTAATAATTTCACCCCACCCTCTTTGTACGGCGTGAAGTACATAGTCTAAACGGCTATGTACTTCACGCCTATTTCACAGGACAAGGTTGTATCACCATAGAAGTAATTTAAGGTGTCTCGAAAGCAGAGCGAATTCCTTTTCGAATAGTGCTAGAGCAAAGTAGTCGGCAAAATGTCTTCCATAACTCAAAATTTTGGCTTCTTTACTTTCATAGTTATTAACAGGGTTGCTAAGATGTGCCTTGTTTTTTGTGAGTTCTAGATATGTCGGCACTGTTGCAAGCGCCATGATCACGGAGAAACCCAAAACAAATATCATCATCATCATCAGCCTATTAATGTCCCCACTGCTGGGGCACAGGCCTTCCCTATGGATGGAATAGGGAGATTGGGCCATGACCCACCCCACGCGGGCCCAGTGCGGATTGGCGGGTGCTAACGACTGCAGATGCAGCCGGGACTAACGGCTTAACGTGCCTTCCGAAGCACGGAGGAACTCGAGATAGTAAATTTTTGGTCACCCATCCAATGAACGACCACTGCGAAAGTTGCTTAACTTCAACGATCGCAGCCGAACGCGCTAACTACTTGCAAAACAAGTATACATGATCGCAATCCCGTTAGTAAATATAATTTAAATATAATGACGACCTCCGTGGTGGATTTGTACGCCGGGTTTCATGGTGTCGCCGACTCAAGAGGTCCCGGGTTCGAATCCCGGTGGGGGCAGATGTTTGTGTGATAAATACGAGCACTTGTACTCCAGTCATGGATGTTGAATATATATTTCTATATAAATATACTTACATGTGTACAGTATATGTATTCTATCCGTTACCCTAGTATAAATAAATAAATAAATAAATAAATATTTCCGACACTCACACCAATTAGCCTAGCCCCAAAGTAAGCACTATAAGGCTTGTGTTATGGGATGCTAGGGTAACGGATAGAATACATATACTGTACATATATAAGTATATTTATACAAATACATATTAAACATGACTGGAGTACAAATGCTCGTATTCATCACACAAACATCTGCCCCCACCGGGATTCGAACCCGGGACCTCTCGAGTCGGCGACAGCCATGAAACCCGGCGTACAAACCACTCGGCCACGGAGGTCGTCGGACATACATGGATACATTGCTAGTAAAACAATTTTCCCATAACACAAACCTTACAGTGCTTACTTTGGGGCTAAGCTAATTATTGTAATTTAAATAAAAATAAATGTAAGTGACCATGAAAGTTTAAAACAATATATTATGCTTTCCTTTATCCTCGCCCTTGTTGTTTGCAAGGAAAGTGTCAGAATCATTTGTGTCTCACCATTTTCTAGTAACACATAAGAGTGCACAGCGAGCTCGGAGCGGGACGTGTTCTTCACGCGGACGACACGATTACGATCCGACGACGATATCCTGAGGGCAAAACAACCAACGTTTCATCTACAATCTGACTACAAAGATAGAATGTCACATTCATATTCTCCTATCACAAACATGACTGACAAAAAGTCATTCACAAAACACTGGGTCTAAATTATAATACTGTTACGTGTCGGGATGGGGTTCGAAATTATATGCCAGTTCACGCTTGACAGTTCTTTATTCACCATACAGTTCATACAATCGCACTTGAACACTTTTTTGATCGCCTTTGGATTCGCTCCGAAATCGCTGTTGAAACTCAACTGTCACTGCGCGGCGCCAATCGCGCTTATATACGCCGATAGACGCATTCTAGAAAGTACCTGTTAAATTGAGAATTAACTAGCACCCGCGAGTACGAAGTACCTACTTATACCTACGCAGGTAACACGCACAACTTTTAAACAAGTGCAGATGTCGTTGCACTTTCTCCCTTACGCCGCACTGCATAAGGCTAATTTTAGAATGAGCCGCATTACTCGACCTCTATCGCGACCCGCGGTGATCTGGCAAATTCGATCTCTAGCACTTTCGCGGTTACGTTTCGACAATACAAAAGTGTTTTGTTGTAGTTTCAAGGACCTATTTGACCCACGAGCGAGAGAATCAACTAGAATACAAACATAGCAGTTGCGAGCATAAATGGGTAAAAAATAAAGATTTTTAAATACAAAAATCATCATGTAATTCTTTTATCATCATCATCAGCCTATTAATGTCCCCACTGCTGGGGCACAGGCCTTCCCTAACGATGGAATAGGGAGATTGGTCCACGACCAACCACGCGGGCCCAGTGCGGTTTGGTGGGTGCTAACGACTGTAGATGCAGCCGGGACCAACGGCTTAATGTGCCTTCCGAAGCACGGAGGAGCTCAAGATAGTAAATATTTGGTCACCCATCCAATGACCGACCAACGCGAAAGTTGCTTAATTGTAATTCATTGCTTGATTATATTTATGTTTTTACAAAGTTAAAGTTGTTTTTTTAAAAGTTCGACGCGGTCCGTGAGGGCCGCGGTAGCATAAATGGTCAGTGCATTCGCCCGGATTGCGAAGGGTGCGGGTTCGAGTCCCGTCTGCTGCCTGGTCCGCGTGGAATTTCTTCTAGTTATATTTTCTTTAAGTTAAAGTTAGTTTTAAATACTACAATTACTAGACTTTGCATGCTCTAAAAAGAATATAATTGAACGCATGCAATCCTGCGTGCATGATGATAGTTTATTCAATGTCTCCTCATAAAAATCCTCTTCATTTAAGTTCAGAGTTCACATCAAATCTGTAATCGTGGGCCATCTGGATTTGGACTGGTGCCATACATCTAACCATGCATTGTCATCCAAATTAAACTTTCAGCTGCAAGATATGACCCGGACATAAATAAATATTTCCAACTCTTACACCAATTAGCCTAGCCTCAGAGTAAACACTGTAAGGCTTGTGTTATGGGATACTAGGGTAACGGATAGAATATATATACAGTACATATATAAGTATAGTATAGAGAAATACATATTAAAAATCCATGGCTGGAGTGCAAATGCTCGTATTCATCATACAAACATCTGCCCCCACCGGAATTCGATCCCGGGACCTCTCGAGTCGGCGACACCATGAAACCCGGCGTACAAACCACTCGACCACGGAGGTCGTCGGACATACATGGATACATTGCAAGTAAAACAAAATTTTTATTAAAAATGTATTTTATTGTATATTGTAATTTCCCTCATTTATGTTCTGTGTTGTGGTGTTTTCAATAAAGTATTGTGTATTGTATTGTATTTTTGTAGTAAGAGTAAGATTTTATAGTAAGACAGCCAGATGACCACAACAACGAAGAGGGAAAGATACGATAAGCAATCAACGCAATAATTATATTCAGTAGTGTCGCAAGGTACTATCCGCTAGGAAATCCGCTTTCAACACTAAACTAAAATATGCTCATTTGTATAAAATTTAAATATTTAACGACCTCGGTGGCCTAGTGGTTCCGTGGCCCCAACTTACCACTCAAAATAATCATTAAACATAGGTGTCATTCGGGACCACTAGCTTCGGTCCCGAATGCCGCCTCAAAATAATTTATTAATTCCATGTCCCCGTCAGGGCCAGTGGTCCCGGTCCCAAATGACTACCGACTCAATTAAACAAAAGAAGAATCACTCAAATTGGAAATCTTTAAGATATCGGTGTACATATAAACAACAAAGTATCGTGAAAATTATATCGTCCAAGTAATAATATCTACTATATAAAAATAAGTCGGGTTTTCCTTCCTGACGCTATAACTCCAGAACGCACGAACCGATTTCCACGGTTTTGCATTCGTTGGAAAGGTCTCGGGCTCCGTGGGGTTTATAGCAAAGAAAATTCAGGAAATTATAAAAAAAAAATCTTCTTTTAATCACCAAACGAAATGTTACATAAAAAGAAGCCATCTGGTGGCGAAACGGAGTTCGCCGGGTTTGCTAGTTTTTTATAAGGTTTCCCTCGATTTCCCCGGATTCCACTGTCAGATCCTGACTTGGTTCCTAAATAGGACCACCTCGGAACTGCACTCTTTGGAATAAAAAAAGAATTTTGGAAATCGGTGCACAATTATTGGAGAAATCAGTGAACATACATAAAAAAAAAATATCTAGTCGAACACAGAACCTCGTCCTTTTTTGAAGCCAAAAATGTTTATGTAAATTAGTAAAACGAACCTTTACTTCTCGATTGCATGAATTGTGTATATTTTCACTAGCTGTATGGGACAGAAGTGATTTAAATGAGGAGGTCGTAAGGGACTTTATTTTTATAAAATAAACAATTTAGAGTCTGTGCGGAAAGAGAATGAAGGGCGTGGCGAAAAACGGAACTAACATTAAGATTTTTATTTGGCAATGAAACCCAGCAATCTGTAAAACGTCAAAGTTTCGTATTGATACGGATTTGTTTGTTGTTGTGATTTCTTGCGGTTTTTTGTATATAATCATGTCCAAAAGGGGTAAAACGTTACAAATACCATAGAAAAACACTACAGCGCCCTCCAATCTAAAATCCCATTCTCTTTCCGCACAGACTCTACATTAATTTCAATAATTACAGGTTAAAGAACTCTAAAATTTGTGTATACTTTCCTTTGACATGATCAAAATAGGCGTATAATATAAAAAAGTTACAACTGTTTAAAATACAAAACATTAACGTTTTTCGCTTCTCCTAAAAAGTAATGGTTTGTCCCTTACGCATATTGAAATTACGGTCGACAATATAGATCAGTCATTATGATTCTAAGCTATAGTGCTGGCGCAAAAGTCTAAGAGGCTTGACGAACTGATCATTTATACTGAAGACGGTCCAGCTAATTTCCCAGAGGGTACAGAAAATTGATCTCCATTTTGTAGTAGACACAAAGCACTAGTTTCTTCGATATTCATCAATCGCTGCTTACATATCCGTAGGGCTTCGAATGTTTTAGAAGACAAAATGATAGTCCTGAACCATGGCAGAACAAACTAGAAAGAAAAGAAAAAACAATGTTTTTTAGGGTTTAGTACCCTGGAATCCTGTTAAAAAAGAATTAAGAATTATTTAATAGAATCTGTGCTTGTATTGTAACCTTAAATATATATATATATATATATATTTTGTTGAAGTTCTCCCGTTTTAGGGAAGGCAAAGGGGACAATGCCCATACAGCCTGGTCTTTAATTAAATAAATCTTCTTTTTGTTTTTACATTAGAATGTCGGTGTGACGCATTCTAATGTTTCTTGGAGTGTTTGGCACGAAATGTATCGAGCTGGCTTTTTCGATAAGCTTCTGTGAGGTAGTCAATACTACAATAAAATACTCACGTCCACTTGACCGGAATAGCGTAAATTTTGACTTTATTGACTGATTCTACTAATTCTTCAGTTACGCAGACAGTTGGTACACAAAACCACACCAATTTTATTTCACAATATCCACTATGAACGAATATAGGAATAATTAAAATAAGACGCCAACCGCACTCGATGAAATCCCGCCAAAAACCCCTATATATATTTTTTTTTATTAATTTTCTAGTCTCGGTGCAAAGGCAACGGATTAACACAGCCTTGCCCCTTTTTTTCTTTTAAATTATATAATTATGCATATAAAAATCGTTAGCGTTTGGCATCCACTTGTCAGATAAAGGACCCAGTTGAAAACCAGCGCCAGGGCATACTGCACTGACATTATGCTGAACTGGGCCCTTTTCAGCGCAGCCGTGGATACGGAGTGGTATAGGTATCGATTCTGACATGATTCTATTAACTTAGGACTGAATTTGGCATCGGTCAGTCCTTTACATTCACTATACGTAGTGACAGGGATACGCTGCTGTCAGGTTTAAGTTTCCGTTTGGGGGGTCGTGCCGGAATCGACGCCAGTATGATATATGTTAAGTGGTATTTATTAACATCTGTATTTAATTGTCATTTTGTAAGTTTTAACTATAACAATTTATCTGTGTCCGTGTACTGTGCTGAATAAACGATTTTGTTTGTTTGTTTGTTTTTTAATATGCCAACGCTCTCAGTAAGTCACAAAACTACGTATCTCTTGAACAGAACAAGTGAGACGCCTGAAATTTACACAGAATGCGTATAAGTGTAGCCACTTTCATACAAAATTAAACAATTAAGGTCTCCCAAACATGCGAATCGCGGTTTTTTAGAATTCTTTACCGAAAGGGTTTTTCGGGACCCTATTACTAAGACCACTGTCCGTCTGTATCTCATGAACCGTAATAGCTAGACTGTTGAAATTTTCACATATTATGATGTTTTTGTATTGCCGCTATAACAACAAATAAACTAAAAACAGAATAAAATAAATATTGAAGGGGGCGTACAACAAGCGTGATTTTTTGCCGTTTTTTTCTCTATAATCTAACTTCTAATATTGGTAATAAATTAATATTTTATTGTAAATTCACTTTAAAAATAAATAATTAAAATAAAATCAATGTTTAAGAGG